CTTCATATAAAATAATTCCTCAGCAGTTCTAGTCATGTGTGATGCAAAAAGAAATACATACACAGACTGAAAACTTAATTACAGAATCTCCCAGGGAAAATGGTTTCCTTCTTACAACGGGCAGGGGCCATGACCATAACACACAGGGGACTGCATAGAGCTTCTGCCAGAACAGATGGGGGGTTACAGGCACACAGAACAGCTATAAGGATTTCTTCAAAACAGAACAAAAACATGTGGAAAAACAAGAAATGGACAAAGCCATGCAAAACTGTGAAGTTTTCTTAGATCACTATCTCTGTCAAGAACTTGATTCAGATTTGCCCATGATGCATCAAGAGTGCATCAACTTGGGTCATAATTTGAACGTCAGTAAAAGTAATCATTAAAGTACGTAAAACCATATCTTTCATCAATTCATTTTTAAATTGTCCCTCAGGACCTTGTTGTACTCTGGTGTTTCCTCCAGGACTTCGTTATGTGTGAGAGAGTTACCTGACAAACACTACTCACAGGAAGATGCTTCTTCCAGAAAAAGCACCTAGTAACATAGAGTCCCCAAAACAGCCCCAGTTGCTCTTTAGATATATCTGTACTAATTAATAAAGAACACTCTGAGCTGTTCTCTAGCACTGGGGCCAACTCCCATGGAATAGTCCAACCAGAAATTAATAAGTCTCCAGCACTGAGTTGGCCACATCTGATGTGCCTGTTGGGGACACTCATGGTAACTCTCAAAATACACCCAGGAGTTGTCTGGGAGGATGAAGCCAAAGCTGTGTCAGAGATCAACAGTGCTGTTTAACAGTACATTTAACAGCTACATTCACATACATGTGTCTGCACACTGCCACTGTTTCATAAATTTTATATGATAGAAATGGCTTCTGCATATTCTTACATTATTTGCAGTGTTGCATGAATGATTCAGTGCCACATTTTAATGGGTCACACACATAGGAATGGAGTATTCTGCAGATTGACAGATTTCTATGGTTCAGCCTTAGTGCTGGATAAAAGTTAAAGACAGATTAATCCCAAAGACAGATTTACAAAAAATAAGACAAAACTGCAATAAAACCAATACTACTTTTTACATCACAGATTTATGCAGCTTTTCAAATAGCTCCTAGGGTAAGGTAAATAATTTCTATAACGTACCCATGAGTATTCTGTGAGTCAAAAACCCTTTGGTCCTGTTGTCAGGACCAAATGGAATGACCTTCAGCATCCTTACCCAATGATCTGTCAGGGTCAGTTTAGGTTACTAAGTTTCCTCCAGGTTCCCTACAAACAGGGCTTGCTTTCCCTTAAAGGCAACAAAACCAGGAGAGATAACAGGAAGAAACTGTATTCTTTCTTTTATCCTTAATGTACCTAACCACGCTAGCAATGCAGAGATGGGAAACTTCTACCTGCTGCTATTGCTGAGATACCCATTACACTAGGGAGCCTGGAGATGCTCAGATATAACTTGTCTTGAAACTTCTGCCCATACCTTCTCATTTATTGCCTTGAATTGTTTTTATATGTGCTCTGAGCTCCAGGAAACCTAAATTCCTTTTCCCATGAGCATCATGAGAGCTTGCAGAGCTGTCATTTATTTCCACAGACTTTATTAATTGTTTTAGTTTAGGGGGAAGATTTTTGGTTTAAAGTAGGGTTTCAGGAACATGGTTTCTTATTATGATAGTGGCTCTATCACAGCTTATTGTATTTCTTATCACCTCCTTTGATAAAAGAAAATAGCTGATTTTAGAATAACTTTCTGTGGCACTGAATAGAATGCATAATCCCTGCTTCAGGGCTTGCAGAGGGTCTGGAGATCAGTAGAAATATTATTCATTGTCACCAATTGATAATAATGCAGCATTTTAGTTGAGGATTTCAGTGCCCAAAAGACAAAAGTTCCCTGGGGAAGGGAAGGTTATACACTGGTGTCTGTTCTACTTTTAGCATTTCACAGTTAACATGGTTCTGTCAGCCTTGTTCAGAATAGGAGCAATCAAAATGAGTGTATCAAAACCTGTGCTTGAAGTTGTACTTTATGGTGTCAGAGGAACAATCTTTACTGCAACGTTAGATTTGTATCAGTTTAGAGCATCAGCTCACATTTTGCCCTGCCTCCACATCCCTGGCCCCGGATGGATTGAGAGACCCAAACGGGCATCTTCCACTTAGCTCAAGGTTTACTGAGCCCATACAAAACTCCAGTGAAAGGAGAAAGGAAAAAAAAAAGGAATAAAAAGTCCTCTGCAGGGGAGAAATTCAGCATCTGTAAGAGCTGCTGCACTCCTGCTGGTTTAGTAGCAGTCAGAGCTGACTTCACTATTCTGCCCAGCCTATAAAAGGAAAATCTCAATTACCTGTGTTAAAGAGTCATTCTCTTACATAAACTGATTACTCAGGATGTATTCTGATAGCTGCATTTGTCCCTAGTGGAGCAGACAGTATGCTTAACTGTCCAGAAAATATATTCTGCCCACCTGCATCTTAGTAATTGCTAACAAAATAGAAATCAAAATAATTACCGGTGCAAGCATCTCCAAAGCCTACCAATAGGCATTTCAGACCTGGGGAAAGGTTTTGTAATCTGAAAGGCAGGGGATGGCTGAATTCCACTAGGGGCTGAATTTAAAAATGATCGCTTGCAAAGTCCTCATGGTCAAAAATTTAATTTAGGTGTTATTTTCAAGAAACTTGAAATACATTTGTTAGTTTACTGTATCGGAAGTAAGCACCCAGTTTCATTGCCTGAACGCTGGAATGCAAACGAAGCAGCAGTGCTTCCAAACCACTTCAAGCAAAAGCAACACTATTCTATAAGAACACGGGTTTTGACGCTTATTGAATCCTAAAATCACTTATATTTGTTTTTATTTTGAAATCATACCAGAAACACATTAAGCTTACTTTGGAAACCAGTAGACTTTGCTTGCATGAGGGAAAAATCTGCTTAAGGGTTTTATTTTTCTCCAGAAGAAAATGGAAACAAATAATATTGTTTCAAAGCAATTTAGGGTTGATGGGAATATTGGAATTCCTTGTATCACCTCCCATGAGTTACATGGACTTATAGTAAATTACATCTTGTTCAGCAGAGCCTCAGATTGGAAATTACAAACAATATACCAAAAGCCTCCAGCTATGAGGCTTATAGTAGTAAATATAATTTGGAGTAGCTCACATTTTTCTAAAACTGTATTCATTTTAGAAAAAGAGTGATGTTTGTAAAATCTGTTTTCATTTTCCTTACTTTATAAAGTATAACAAAAAGTCAAATAAATGCTTCACTGAGCAATTTCATATATATAAAATGGCTTCAAGTAATTATCTGCAACAATGTCTTGGAAAAATAACACATTTGTTATTTTTGGCATTTCCTGGTTGGTGTATGCAAAATGTCTCAATATTTAACTGTTATATGTCAGCCACATTCACTGACCTGCTATTTGCTAGACAGCTCCCTGAAAGGATAATTGTTCGTTTTCTTTTCTATGGACTTTTAGACTGGAATAATGTTTACAGAATTTGACAGACACCTTACAAAATAAAATTAATCTCTACAGGAAAATAGATAGAGCAAAACTTTCTTGTTCCAGATCTGGTCTTCAAAATTAGGGCCCAGACACCTAAGGAAAGTAACTCTTTTTTTACATGACAGCTTCAGCACAAAAGACTGAAAAATTGCTGAAAATATTTACTTCTGCGATTAGGAATAAATACAAAAAAAAAGGATTTTTTTGCTAGTGAAGAGAGTAACAGCAGTATCATTTTTAATACCCAGAAGAAGGTATTATTTCCAGTCACCAAACATTTCTCACCAGGCTCAGTTCATCTGCTCTAAGTAATGAGGACCAAGAAATGAGAGCAGGGATTAGTTTAGAACTGCTGCTTTGGCTGAATTTGCTGTGATATCGCAAATGGACATAGAACATCTTCAATATCTTTTTTTAGGTGTGATTGACAAGTTTAATTTATTTGATGTGCTTAGTTATAGGAATAGCAATAAAGCAATGGAAGGAAGCGGGACTGACGCTGCATGGCAGAGTTGCCTTGGCAACAGAGCAGTCAAAGGTAAGGCAGGAGACGTGAAGGGACTGGATGCAGAGGCAGAATCCTCCCTTGGTGAGAAGTTTCACAACAAAAGGCAAATTGTAGCAATATAACACAGCTCTTGCCTGCGACAATGGTAATATTCAGAATGTGACTTTAAACATCCAGCATTACTGTTCTGAATTTGTCAACACTGATAGGCAGTCTGAAAATCTTTTAGGAAAACATGGAAGTTAACAACCTAAATGAATAGGATAAATAAGGACGCTGGCACCTACTTTTGGGTCTTTGTACAGCTGCAAAAATGAAACCTAGATGAAAACCAATTTCACATTTTCCAGTTATAGCTCTTGCCCCAGACTCGGTCCCTAACAAGGCGAGGGTATCAAGCTGCCTGCTTGCTGCCAGACAGCTGAATGTTTCTCCTAAGGTTATGACAGACGAGCACAATTCTCAATGCTGTCTTTCCAAAGAGAGTCATATTTTTTGACAGATAGATGTAACAGCTTCCATTTTCATTAGCATCATAATCATAGGAAAGTGCTAGAAAAAAATCCTGTGTCTGAGCAAGTAAAATTTCACAGTAATATTTCTAGGCCCCACTGAAATAATTTTATTGTAGCAGGCACTTCCTTTGCTTCCTTCATTAGAAATCAAATGTTACCCAAAAATGCTAAGGTTTGCATGCTAATGACTGAGAAATAATTGAAATGAAGTACAGTTACACGAGTAAAAACTCTGAGGACTCAGCCAGCCTTCTGGAAATACTGAAATTCTCTCATCTTTCATTAGTTTTCTGTGAAGTTGTGCACCTGCACAGCAGAGAGTCACACTGTGCAGGAGCGCACATCCTGGCTGGGCTTCCAGAGGCACAGTTGTGAGCCCAGACACAGTGACACCGAGCAAGGCAGAAATGACACAGCCTTGGAAAGGAAAGGACTGACCTTTTCTTGTCGACAATGCTGCTCCACGGTGAAGCTGGACATCAGCAGAGGACGAGAAGGAAGGTCACATCAGGTGGCAGCCAGCTGGTGCGGATAGGGAAAGGAAGGGCAAGGCAAGTTCGTAATTCAGTACTTCTTTTTGAGCTTCATTATTCCTCACTGCACCTGCAATTGGGAACAGAAGAACAGTTTGTTTTCACTGTTGACATCTTTTTAGGTTCGGAAACTATCACTTACACACAGAACAAAGGAAACAATCACAAATGTGACTTGTAATCATCTGTGCCATAGAATTTGTTTTCATTACAACACATCCGCTGTGTTTTTAAGCATAAATATAGTGAACTTTGTTTTTGAAGCAGTTTAGACTATATGGTTTATGTAATACTATAGCTAAGAGATCTTCTGTTCCCCTTGCACACGGCTTTACAATAGCAATAATACAACAATTTACATTTCCCCCATATATCTTTTGCCACGACTAAAAATTGACCAATACAGTGAACTTCAACCTGCCACATCTCAGAAATTAAGGCATAGAACAGGCTGCATTCATTGTTGCATAGTTAAATTGACAGCAATGGCTGTCCTTGATATGTCTCTTGTTCTTTAGCTACTACCACTTTGGAGGAGTATGGTGTTCATTCTACAGCACACATGACAGAAGTGTCTCTCGTAGGACTCCCCTGAGCACAAGGACTCACTAAAATCCACCAACACATTTTATACTTACAAAGCACTTCCCATTCACGGACTCTGTAGCAGCTTGACAATTTTAAGCCAAACAAAATTATTTGACATTAAGCCTGTATGCTTTTCTACATGCAAGTGGCTAGAGCAGAGCATGCAGAAATGTCTTTACCCTAAATCACTAAGTAATATACTAAAACTCTTAACTGATTTTATTTATTTATTTTTGAGGTTCCACATGTAAAATAAGTGGATTACATAGTCTACTTCTCACTAGCAGAATCAAGTCAGGAACCTCAGGACCAAGACTCCAAAAGTGCTACCACAAAGACTGAGCTACTTCATCCACTAGGTATTTCAGCAAAATGAAGTACCAAAGAGGCAAAAAAAAATTAAATATACATAGTGCTTTTAAAAACAAAACTATTCTTGGCCATGATCAGCAAATACAACAGTGAAATAGTACAGTTTCAGTTTGCAAGATTTATTTTTTACCCACATTTAACATTAGTATGGTGAAAAAAAACACATGCTAACGATTTGGAGAAAATTCTATGGTTGGCCATGGGATCATCAAAATACATTTTACATTCTTGAAAATTAATTTTTTTCACTAGAACTACACTTCTAAAATGTATCACCTATGTAAACAAATAACCTACATAAATATAAGAGTTAAAATATGTACTGTTAACTCTACTAATAACCGCGGAGATCTGTTTTGCAGTGAATTGCAGATAGGGAACTCATACTGCACTATGTGCTGTAGCAAGGGGTTTGGTAAAATGACTTCAGAAAACATAGCATAAGTCTCCAGCTGAAGAAATGTCTGCTGATTCTGCCTTGTCATTTTCAACCTCAATCAGGTTGTAACGCCCTACATTTCTATATCCGTTTTATTATATTGTTTCTTAATACAGTTCATTGGAAATTCAACTTAATTCTTTCTAAGTTTTAAATAAACTAAAAAGTAACATGGTACTGATGTTTTTCAAAATCTGTCCTTGATTTTGTGTTCAATTGAGCCAGCAGGTGCTGGTATTCATTAAGAGTCAGAAATTCACTGGGAAGCAACAAATATGAATACAAAGCAAGACATACACATTTTTGAAAACTTCTGGGTTTGGTTCAGATGTTAAGACAATTACACATCTAAAAATAAAATTTACTGTTAAAGCACCTTCGTCTTGCTTTTCCAAGCTTAAGTGGAAATTTGCCTGTTAAAGTAGTTTTCATCTTTAAATATTAAGCAGACAGTAACACTGATCGTAAACATTTCATTCACTAGCTTTGGTTAATATACTTTGTTGACTAAATGTAGTTTAAGTGAAAAATAAGGTTGTTTTTTTTGGTAACTATTTCTATTTTATTAAATCATTTTTATGATTAAAATGCATTTAAGTTCACATGCATATAGTTGGATGAATGCCAAGTAATTAAAATTATAGGGAAAAAACTTCCCAGCGTAATGAACAAATCAAATAAATACATCTGGATAAATACATCTAAAGCCATATAACTCGAGATTCTCTTAAAAAAAAAAAAAAAAAAAAAAGGAGAAAAAAGCATAACTTTAAGTTGAGCACTTGGTTGCAAATCAGTTTTTAAAATTATATGCAAGCAGAAATAAATTCTACTTAGGGGAAAAAGTCTAACACATATAGCTTGAATTACATTTCCCAACAAACCTTTCAGGGGACTAACATCTATTTTCTGTGCTCATGTCCAGCAGAGCTGAGCTCTGAAGCCTCCAGCCCTGACTGCCATGCAACTATGCAAATACAAAGCAGAAAGCATCTTTTTCTTTTTTGCAGGGTAGACAGCATGGGAGGGTAATATTTTCTTCTCTTTCATTTGGTTCTGAGTGAAATGGTTTTAGGAACCCATTATAACCCTGGCTGTATTGCATTGTCTCATTATTACAATGCTTGGGCTGCAGACGCATAGGCAGAAGGTTATGCCTTTGAAAACATCTGGGCTGTTCTTAAAAATAAGAAAATAAAAGGGGATGTGGGGAGAATGGGACACATCGTGTGAGACCTTGGAAAACCTTGTTTTATAGAAAGCTGAAATTACAGCCAAACTGGGACTGAAAACATCTCTTTACTATTCCCACTCTTGGGAAAGTACGCTAGCTCCCAGAAACAAGAGCTGAAACATAAAGATAAATGAACTCCATCCTGCCAAGAGAAACCTGCAGCATTGGGTCTCTGCCTGCTGGGGCCAGCCCTGCCATTACAGCTCCTCCAGCTGCCAAAAAGAGAGATGAGCACACGAGCCCAGCTGCCGGAGAACGGAGGGACCCGGTTGCAATTCCCCTACCTCTGCTCAACGTCACCCAAGAGAGGCATAATTGGCACTTGAATTGAAGCATGTGCAAGGTCCTTTTGTATCCGCCGCTTGCTTAGCTTGAAAATTAAAAGAAGCTATTGATAGCAATTTATATGCACCAGGATGGCTGAGAGGGGAGCTTGAACATGCTAAATTGCAAGTAATCGGTCACTGCTCGGTGACAGCTTAACAGAACTTAATCACAAAATTTAAAAAATAAGAGTGGGAAAGAAAATGAGAGGACATCAAGTCCTTTCCTCTGCTTTTCTCACAGAGTTTCTATTTATAATCTTTCCAATAATATCTCTGTTTGGGGATGGTATTTTAAAGGTGCTGAACAGACTACGGTTAGCTGCAATTCCTGGGTGCATGCACGCGCGTTAAAAGCAGATCTCTCTGCTAATGACAGCTTAATTCAAGATCTGTATGTAAACCCAACGCCTGCCTTATTTCCATTCTAGAGAGAATGCCATTTTCATAGAAATTGCATGTACTCAGATGGATGAAAGACTAAATTTTGCAGACTGACTTCACTTTTCTTATCTTTACATTAAAAGAGTTCATGGTGCCAACAGAAAGCTTCCCATGCATGTCCTTTCTGCAGAATGTCCCTAGCAAGAGCTAAATACACATTGCAGTTTGCCAGCACTGCCAAAACCCCATTATCTTAGGAAGGGGGAGGTTCCTTTCTTATCTTCAAGTGTCATTTGAAAATATTTCTTGTCCATTTCTCTTATCTTTCCCGCTATAAATCAATTTCAGCAGCTTGAGAGAAACCTGGATACTTGGTACAAAGATGAAGGGGATGGCAAAAGGCTGAAAAGTCATGCTGGAGAGCACCAGGGAGCTGAAGAAAAGGAGGGAAAGGAAGGAGCCCAAAAGGAGATAGGAATTGAGACAGACAGGCACATAACACACAGAGGTCATGTAAAGCTAAAAAAAAACCATACCACATACAATAAGTTCTACAGTATTTTGCACTAAATGGTAATATGACAAGATGAGTTCAATGGAATAATTTTTAAATCCCCTTTCCAGGAGTAATGTTAATTCCTAGAACCTCATACATCTGAGGGATTGTACACATTTCTGTCGAACTACAACAGCAGAACAGCCTTTTTAATTTTGCATGTCTCACCTCGTGTGAATTAACTCATTTAAATTGCTGATTCTCTCCCTCACCATTGCACATTCACGTACATTATTTATTGTGTTCAAATGATATCATTCTTGGGTGGCAAATTGAGGTTGAAAAGACTTCTCACATCTGACTTCAATTCATCTCACCTTCCTGCTCTGTTCATAAAAGCAGGAGGGAAAGAGACATTTCACCCACCACCTCCTGCTTATTACTTTTAAAATGGCAAATGAAACAGGAAAAGCATATTCAGGATTACTGTGCAGCAGAGAATGCTTTTGCCATCAATGCCTAAACTGAGACAACAGAAAATACATTTTTATATGAACTTTGGTATTACCCAGCTGGTGCCACTACTCAGTGATGAGCATTGGTGAAACAAACCGTATTTTCCACAATCTTGAAACATTAGAGGGTGAAAATCCCAGCTATGCGGATTCTTTATACCCTTCCAGTGAACAGTCACTACGTACTTTATTTCACATGTGAAGAGAATTTACCCACCTTCCTCTGCCTTCCTCTCCGACTATTCCTCATACAGCTGCTCCCTTCCCTACCATGGTTGTGACTGGTACCACAAAGCTGTACACCGAGGAATTTATACAAGGGAAATTTACTGCCAAGGGCAGCAACAATAGATACTTACCAATATCACAAGTGAAACTCATCACGTTAACCCTTATAATTACTACTGACACTGAGTACAGCTGTGAGCCAACTTGATCACCTGGGGGCACCTGCAGTGGCATTGGTGAGGGGAGCAACCCAGTGGGAAGTCACTTTGCATCCAAGTTACCATGACCAGGATAAAATACTGTCCCGAGTGATGCTTGTATAAACTGAAGGAAAACAAGTCCTCAGCCAAAGTCCCAAGATCACTAGATACAGCAAAGTAAAGAGTCTGGCCAGCCTAGCTGCATAGGCTCAATGAACAGTTCCAGGTTCTTTTTCTATATCACCGGTAAGAATCTTATCCAAAAGTGTCCTGGCTAACTCAGAAACCTTT